GCCGCCTAAAACATCACTAGCTAGGGCACCCCTACTATAGAGCCATGTGAGTTCTGTCATCATAACGTCGGTATCCACTTTTTTGAATGAATTTGCGAATTTGGATACACTTTAAAAAAACGAAACAGTTTTTAAGTTGGGTCAAAATATCAAATGGAAGAAAGAATCGAGATAAAAATCAACAATTGCGTGAGGAGTGCCGACACTTGCTTTTAGCAGCCGTACCATGTATGCATTTCATCACCATTTCTGACGTGTATTTGTTAAGAATAAAATGCATTAATTACTTTTTTATTTTATTTAAATTATAAAAACTTCTTTTCTATTTTGAACTTCTCTTAACATTAAAATATGAGTTACACAGATTTCTTTTATATAATTTGGAATTCATTTTCAATAAGTTGACCATTAAATTTGACTCCTAAATTTTGTTTTGACCAAAATATTTTTGTTTCATACAAAAATTATTTAAACATTTTCAAAAATAATTTTTATATAACTTAAAAATTACTCAAATACATGTATTTTCAAACTTTCTAATATGTTATAATATTCATTAATTTTGGATTATATCATCAAAATTTTATTATTTTAATTTTTCATTACATTTTTCTAATAATGGCCAAAAATATTTTCTAAACTCATATTTTTTAATCATGTCATATAAATGATATAAGTTTGAGAGATTATGTAAAGTAATTAGATTTACAATTTAAAATTTGTAAACACCTTTTTTGCCACAAACATATATAAACATATTTAGTCAAGTGTTATTAATTTAAAAAAATAATCAAAAATTTAATATCTATGCTAATTAAATTAGTTTAATTTTTGGCCTGATATGGCAAAAAAAATTAATTTTCAGAAAGAGAAAATAAAATCAAAGAAAAAACTCTTAAATTCTTCAAAAGAGTTTTAGTCAATATTAGAGATTTAGTACAATAAATGGTAAATTAGTAAATAAAATTTATTTAAATATACTTTTAGAATGTTCTTAATAGAGTTAAGGATAGGTCCATGTAATTAGGATACAAAATAAGGAAGATTAGAGTAATTTATTCATTTATTTATTATGTACGCTTCCCATTATATTCAAACTTTCCTGATTTCAGGATGGAGATTCAGACGCGCACACGCAAGGAGAAAAAGTATTTATAAAATGTTAACACACACCTCAAATTAAAGGTAGACAGCACAAACACACACGCACACACATATATTTATATATAATGAGATGTTTTTATTGAATGAATTTTGTAATATATAGATATATAATTTTAATTTGGGAACAGATAATGCATAGCATGATGCTCAAATATCTAAATAAGAATTGATTTAATTAATTATATATCGCAATAACAAAAAAAAATATTCACGTGCCCACTCTTATTGATATGGGCAAGGTAATAAGGCCCCGTTTGGCAGAGCGGTGAAAATCCTCCATAAGCACGTTTTACGTAAATCAAGACAATATTTTTTTCACATACTTGCCTCTTATTCTATAAATTACTATTAAAAAGCTACTTATAAACTACTTATAAGCTGTTTCAAAATGGTCTTAAAATTTGAGCAGGTTAATAAACTAGTTAAGGTAATAAGCTAGTAAAGGTAGCATTTCTCAGTTGGCAATTTAGGTCGGAGCTAATTAAAATAATATAATAAAAAATGTGTAAAACTATCCATATATTAGTTATAAAAAATATTTTAATAAGAATAATATTTAAAGATATTCTGGTATTAAACTTTTCTTAACATTAACAGTCATTTACAATTTTTTTATAAGTGTTAACTACATTTTAATAAGTCTTAATAACTTTTATCTAGCAAGTAGCAAAGCCACTTTTTAAGGCTATTCACAAGTTTTGTATAAATATTGACTACATTTATAATGTTAGATAAAATTTATTAAAATTGGAGAACTTATGGTATTAAACAAAAATTAAAGAATTCCTTGTTTCTTAGAGACCATAATTTTAGTTTGGAAGCTCAATTTATTTTATTATATACTTTTTTTATAAGATTTATTTTCATAATTAATGTGAAAAAATTGTAGGTTTAAATATATATGATTAAGTCAACCCAAAAAATGTAAATGTTTGAGATTTTAAAATGTTAAATAGGGCAAATGGAATTTCACATGGGGACACAAATGGAATTTTATTGGGCGGCTGGGGTAAGTGAAGTGATTTTCATTTTTTGGTGATTTGCTTGGGCTCATGTAATTGGATTAGAGCTGGAGCGCATTGTCCTCAGAAGAGGCAGACACACGTAACGGTGACCGACAATTTGGAGAAGGAAAAGCAAAGTGGAAGGAAATGGCGAAGGATGAAAGTGGAGAGACCTTTTAAGCACAAAAAGCCTATAATTTCTGGGGTGAAAATCAGAAAAATAAGACCTTGCAAGGGTTGTGTGATTGGATCAGAGTTGGAGCGCACTGTCCTTAGAAGAGGCCGATAAACGAGACGCGTAACGGTGACCAATAATTTGGAAAAGGAAATAGAAAGTGGAAGGAAATGGCGAGCAATGGAAGGAGAGAGACCTTTCAAGCGTAAAAAGCCCATAATTTTTGGGTGAAAATCAGAAAAATCAGATTGGGTGATCGTCATTCAAATTTTATTGGGAAAATTTCACTGTAGGATCGCACAAGACAATTAATTTCAAAGAGCCCCCAAAACTTTCTGAAATCTCACTGCAGGACCAAGGGACCAATCTGATATTAATTCCACAAGCGAAATGACGCCACTACCCTTAGCATCAGGTGAACCAGTCCACATGTGAACGGACTGATTCCACGTGTGAATATATGTATTTCTTCTGCAAATTGGCTAGTTCCCCTTGCAAATGCGATCTCCCGCACTTGTTCTCTCACGGACACATGATTCAGGTGAACCAGTCCACATGTGAACGGACTGATTCCGCGTGTGAATATATGTATTTATTCTGTAAATTGGCTAGTTCCCCTTGCAAATGCGCTCTCCCGCACTTGTTCCCTCACGGACCCATGCTTCAGCTGAACCAGTCCACATGTGAACGGACTAATTCCACATGTGAATATATGTATTTCTTTTGCAAATTGGCTAGTTCCCCTTGCAAATGCGCTCTCCCGCACTTGTTCCCTCAAGGAAATAAGTTTCTACTAGGGGCAGTGGCGTCATTTCATTTGTGGAATTAATATCAGATTGGCCCCTTGATCCTGCAATGAGATTTCAGAAAGTTTTGGGGGCTTTTTGAGATTAATTCTCTTCTGCGGTCCTACAGTGAAATTCTCCCAATTTTATTTACCAATAATTAGAAAAAGGAAAAGGAAAAAAAAAAGTGAATGAAAATGGGGAGGAATGAAAGTGGAGATACCTTTCTCGCACAAGAAACCTATAAGTTTTGCGGTGAAAATCAGAAAACTTAGTTTGGGTGGTCTTCATTCAAATTTTATTTAGATGGTTTATATGTGATTTTTTTTATTTTTTAAAATAATTATTTTAATAAGTGTAAGATTTAAAATAAAAATAATTTTTTAATTATTACTCTTTCCGTTTTTTATTATAAGAGCATTTAATGTTTAAAACATGTTACTATATATAAAAGATATTTAAAATTTGTTTTTACTTTTTTGTGTTGGTTTCCTATTTTACCTATATTTATATTGTCTCCAAATCATATTCTCTCTTCCTCTCATTTTTCTTTCTTTTAATAATTTAATTATTCTCTCTTATGCTTTCTCTTCTTATTAATGAGGATATTTTTTAAAAAAAATATATACTTTTTACATATTGATTGTTCTTAATTAATTTTAACTATTTTTTTATCAATATAATTTGATTATTTATCTCTTATAATAAAAAATTAAAAGAGTATTTTTTTCCAAAAAAATAATTTTTTAATAAAAATAATTAATTAAAAATTTTAAATTTAAGAAGTACTGTCCAAAATAAATTTGAATGTTACAGGTATAATGATTATGGCCTAGGTGCTAACACTCAAACTAGTTCCAGAAAACCAGAGTACGCTGGATCTTTCTGGATCCCCGTGAAGAGGAAAAGATCTTCCTAGATCTGGCGTTCGACCCGGCTTCCATTGATGTGGGTCGCGTTCTTTCCAAGCTGTTGTGGCCTCATTCGTAGTATAAACTTGCGGGATTCCCTGGATCCTCACAAGTTCAAAGAGAGCATCATCCAAGCATCAAGCGACAAGAACAAAATGATCGAGTTTCATCGCAAGTATTCTGTCTCTCAGAAACGGAAACTGATTGAGGACCTGGGAAAATTTTCTGTCATGAAAGATTCACAGCACACTTTATCAGCTCCTTCATCGCCGCTTCGGTCGCCCCGCCAGTCCCTCGCTCGCTCCGCTTCTCTTCCTGGTGGTTCTGAGCAGAACTTGTCTCAACTTGCGAAAGATATTAACGAAATGCTGCCTGTTTCTGGTCCTCAAGTTACCAAGGAGCCTGCAAAAGCATCACTTGGTTGGGTTTCTTTTCACACTTCAATTTTTTCGTCTTATCTACTCGTACCTGCTGCTATATATTGTTCTTCCCATATATAAACAAAATCTGACCTGGCTTGATTTAAACATAGCCAACTTGCCCGAGTTTGTATATATTGTGCATGATTATTCAAGCATAATATGCTCAAACGGGTGATATTGGTGCCACAGAAACTCACCTCAGAGAGGCATGAGGATCGATGCACTTCCATTTCTCATATCAGTTCTGAGAGCAAAGGCATAAAGTAAAGCCTTTGGTCTTTATGAGGGAAGAGGTAAGCATATATTTACAAACTACTACTTCCACTACTATTATTACTTAAGGTACTGATACTTGGTAATGCTACAGGTTGCTATGATTCTTTGAAGCGTATTTATTTCAAAGTGATGAGAGAAAAAGAGATGTATGCCATGCCACAGTCAGGATCTCTCTCTATTTTCTTCTTTCTCGCTCAATTTTTACTTCAAAGGATCTAGAAAACATCAGTGCAAGACACAGCTGTTCTCAGATAAAGCAAGGGCTTTGACTGAAAGGCCTGCAAAAGGAGAAAGCGTTAGATAAAAGCCTCCAATGGAGATGACAATATGACAACTCTCAAGTCTCATCAGAACTGATCCTTGCTTTTGTCAGTTTACTATTATATCCTCACCGCTGTTCTGTACCTCTAATTAGTTCTTTATTCTTGGAAGCAGTGGCATGTACAGGATCCAAGTTGAAGGATGAAGAGCAAGCTGGTGGAGATGTTAATGCTGCCGTAATCAATTCTAATCACTCCCGTAGTTTGCCCTCAACAAGATCTATCACAAACAGTTCTGGCACTGTTTTTACTGCTCCAAACCCTGTTTCTCCCGAAATCTCAGTCCAGCAAACTAATTCTTCGAGGCCTAATGATACTTTCATTAATATGCCTGTGACCCATCCTCCTGCATCATCACCGCCCGAGCACAACAAACTGGGCTTCATTGTTTTTCCTGTTGAATTTCTAAATGCTATAATCAGTCTTGCTGTTTCATCAAAGGCAAAAGATAACCAGGTTCTGACTTATGCTGCGGTGGGTTGTTCTACACTGGCGTTCTCCATTTCTTCAACTGCTGTTGTGCTGCACAAGAAAAGGCCTCCGATGGCGAAGAAGATGCAAGAAGCTGCGTTTCTGATCGGCATGTTTGGATTCTTGGGAATGATGGGCGTGCTTTTGCCTTCAAGCATCTGTTGGTGGTTCACTGTCTCAGCCTTCCTTGTTTGTGTGCTGATGTTTGCCGTTGCAAATTTGATTGGGCGAGAGGAACCTGGTTGAACTCGAACGAATCACTTCGCATGTGATGAGTGACTATTGTCGTTGCCCTTGTCCATGCACTACCAAAAAACATGTGACGTGCATATGGGTCTTTCTTGGTTCTTGTCTCAGTGGTTTTCGTGGAGAACACTACTGTATAAATAATGCAAAGTGAAGTGCATATGGACAAAAATTGATGTCTCCATTGTTCCCTTGATCTCTTGTGATGCATCGTTCTTTCATCTTTCTTTCTTTGTTTGTTTTTTTTAAAATTTTTCCCCCCCGAAAATGACTTATAGGACCACCGAAAGAAATGAATGGCCTCCGAGGACTAATAAATTCATAAAGATAAGGTTAAGGTGTTTATTATTTTTCTCTTCTATCATGATAGTATTTTAAAAAAGGAAAATTTGTAAATTTTTATAGTTTCATCTAATTTTAAATTAAATTTATATAGTTTTTTTCTTTTTTATTATGTTCTTATAGTTGCACTTGATTTTTGATCAGGTCTTAATAGTTTTTTTTCCTTACCAAGTCCTTATAATATCATATCTCTTTTGCTTTATTATTTATTATTAATATTAATTATTCCAAATTAAGAAAATCAAATTCATTTTAATTTTAATTTGAATTACTTTTGAATTATTTTTCCGATTTTATTTGTTTATGCTAATATTTACGCTACTTTATAATTAATAGTCATTATTTTATTTTTTATTTTCTAGCTCAAATTTATTCTAGTTAAAATTTTATTATTTTATAAATTTTTTATTTAATTAATAAGTGAATTTTTATTCCTTTTTATTTGTTAAATTCTTAAAAAGAGTAGCAGATTATGATTTAATTTGACGATGGTGATGTCCTCCGTGTGTTGAAAAAATAATACTATAAGATATTTTCTTAACGAACTGAATATACTTTATCAAATGATTGTATTTGTATTGAGAAAAACAAAGAAAAATGAATGTGTATCAACAAATAATAAAAAGAAAAAGCATTTTTCCTGAAGTGCAACTAAATTTCTTTGCGTGCTTTCATTAAAGGTACGATGGTCACTTATCCTTCACAAAGTTCTAAGGACTAGTGGCCAGTGGGCTCAAATTTGCAGCTTTGCAAAATTTAAACAAGCCCTTTTTTTTTTTATACTACATAACAAATTTAAACAATGTACTGTGTTGTTCATTCTCAAATGAAATTTTGAAAATAAAGGAAAGGTACGTATTACATAATCCGAGTTAAAATTATTTAAAAACAATAAATATATAAGATATATAATTTTTTCTAAATATATTATTATTTATGGAGAGAGCAAGTAAAATTTGAGTAGAAAAAAATTAGAAGAGACTGTGTAATAATTTATTGAATGAGAGAAAATGTGTAATATAATCAATGTACATACACGTATTTATAATTGAGGTGAAAACGAAAAAAAAATTAAATTTTCAAGTAAAAATAAAGTGAAATTTATGCATAGAACCAGCCCTTTCTTAAGAAGTATAACTTATATATAGGATTCGAGGGACGGAGGAGTAATATTCAATGTGAAGGGAAGTTTGTGGAGATTTCCAAAATAAAAGAGAACTCTTTGCAATAAATAAAAATAAAACGAAGTTCAGTGCATTTGACTCTAAAATTAATCACCATATCATCACCAACCAAAGATGACCAAGTTAGGTCCTAATGTGATTATCCCCTGGAAGGAGAAAGAACGTCTGGCGAAGAGATGGAAAAATAGATGTATGCTTTGAACCAGAGTTGGAAACAATCACTAAAATAGCTGCGTGGATTCGGATAGCAAATTTGTCCTTGGATTACTGTGATACAGGGATTCTTCATGTGCTAGGAACTCAGATATGGAGGGTGCTGAAAGTGGACAAGACTACGTTGAAACGCAAAAAAGTTCACTTCGCCTGTATTTGAGTACACCATTGCGCTCGTTTGTTCTGGTAAATGGGAAGCCAAAGAGGATTCAATACAAAGGCATCCATTTTATCTGTTTCTCATGCGGACGCTATGAGCCGATCGAGGGGACGGCGGCGCCGGGCCGTGAAGATGAGACGACGGCTCCGCAACCAGGGATCCAGAAAGAAAAACCGTCAGTGAAGGTAGGACCTTTTAGACGCAGCACGGCGGCGCCGATGAAAGGTGATGAACAAAAATTTTCGGAATGGATGATAGTACAACGTCCCCGCCATAGTCGTCACGTTGGACCTGTGGAAGGGAAGGTGAGTGATGAGAAGCGGATTCCGCGGATGAAAAGCGGACTCCCCCCGCGTGCGAATTAAAGGCGGATAAAGTATCTTTTTAATCAGAGGTTTTTACAAAAATCTGAAATTAATTTGTAATAATTTCAGAGTTTACCTGAAAACATGGTTTACACCTTTGATTTTTAAGTAAAATATACCGACTACCCTTCTATTTTATTTCAATTATAGAAACATTCTTTCTATTTTAAAAACGCATATAAATTTTTTTACAATTAAAATGCATGTTATACAAACCTCCTTCTTATATTTAATATTCAAGTTCCATCTACTCAAACGGATAACAAAGTTGTTGGGTTGTTTCATATAAAAACTAGTTAATTAATTTAAGTATATTAATAAAATTGGTTAAATTAGTTATTTGTAATAAATATGTGCTATCTCTCTTAAAATATCTTTACTAATTAAGTGTTGGTTAGAGCTACTATTATTACAAGGACTATCTTTAAAAAAAATAAATAAATATATGAGATAAAGTGGATTAGAGTTTTATATTTGGGATTAAAATAAAACTCAAATGAGCTTTTATATTGAAGAACGGAGAGAGGTAGTATATTAATTGTTTTCATCCATAAAACCTAAAAACTCTTGTGTCTCCAACAATCCAAGGTTAGTTGTCTCACTCTGAAAATTAATTGTTTAGTGTCTGGGAGTATTTTCTTATTAAGAAAAGTGTCAAAAAGGACTTTTCAAAAAAGAAAATTACAAATAGGGACCAATTATAATATTAATATAAGTTTGGACAACAATTGATAAGCAAATAACAATTTTTCTGAACGGGTTGCTGTATGTAATTTTCTTAATTTTTACGGTTTTTTTTGTTGCAATTCTTCCTTCTTATTATCCTCCTTATAGCCTTATTGTGTCATTATAGGCAAGGTTTCCGAGGTCTGGGAGACTGCATCAGAGGAACGATTTCATAGTTTAAAACTATGCGTCCACTCCTTCAATTTCGATTTGGTCGATCAGTATAATTTTGGGAGATTGAATCGATCAACCTTGGATTCTTGGGCAATCGCAAGTCGGCTTAGAGAGTATTTAGATAGAATTAAAATTATAATTTTAAAAGTGTTTTTATAGTATATGAAATAAATATGTGAGGGACTTTGTCTTGATTTACGGAAAAGTACTTTTTAAAAGTACTTTTAGCGCTATCCAAACTTCTCCTTAGATGACCATCTTTTTAGTTACTCGGGTCTAAGTATCAGTGCGCCTAATAAAACACGTGGCAAAAGCTAATTGACTACTTTGATATATTTGATCTAGCTACTTTGATTTGAGTTTGATCTTAAAAAAATATTTTTTTTACATATTTATTATTTTAAAGTAATTTTAGCAGATTTCTTAAATGACAATTATTTGGATCATATAAAATGATAAAAACTATGTAAAATTGAAATTTAGGGGAAAAATAATAAAAGGATGTATGTTAAAAAAGATGATCAAATACATACTAAGACGAGTAATTTACTACTCATATGTTCTTTAATATAAGATTCAATTGTTAAGTTAGTTTTGGTTCTAAATATAAAACCTATTTCTTATATTTATTAATTTTTTCTAAATTACCTCTATGGATACTCTCTCAACCATAATCAAATGAAAAGGGGAGATGAGGTACTAAGAAAGATGATTATAGTGTTTTAGGAAAAACATGTCGTATTTTTTATAATTAGCTAACTTATTTAATTTCTTTAATTTAATCAAATTAGTTAAATGAGTATTATATTAAGGACTTAAGGAGTACTATTTTTGGAGGTCATTAACTAATTTGAGTAGATTAAAAATCAGTTATTTGTCTCTAAAATATTCCTAGTAATAAGATATATTAGTTAAAATTATTATTTGATAAAATATTTTAACATGTACACTACTCTAATGACTACTTTAAAAAAAATAAATAAATAAAAGTTACAACGATAAAATAAATTTAAATTTTATATCTAAAATTAAATTAAAAATTAAATTAATTTTTATATTAAGAATAGAAACTAATATAAAAGTAAATTTGACATCACGAATTCGGGTATCCCTACGATAAAGCCGCGTCAAACATTGCTAGCTAGGGCACCCCTACGACTTTCGTCAGCATCATGTCAGTCTCCACTCGAAAAATGAATTTGAGGGGAATTTGAGGGGACAAAACCATACCTACCATTATTTTTTTGGAAAATATAGATATTTATAATGTCAGATAAATTTTTTTAAAAATAAATAAATTTCTGGTATTCCAAAATTATAAGAATTTGTTCTTTCTTAGAGAGCAGAGACTATAATTTTAGTTATGAAAATTAATTTATGTAATTATATACCTTCTGTAAAATTTATTTTCATAATTAATGATAAAAAAAATTATACGGGGAGACAGATGGAATTTTATACGGGGACACAAATGTGATTTGATTGAGGAGGGGGAGTAATAAACAAATGAAGAACGCGATATAACTCATCGTGTAATTGGACCTGCAAAAAGGCCCAAAAAGTGCGGCCCGTAACGGGCAATAATGGTACGACGAGTGACGAGGCTTGTTGCCAGCATCCGTAATATGTATGCATTTCATCACCATTTCTGTCGTGTATATTCCTCTTATCCTATTTATAAAGCATTTTCAATATGTTTTACATAGATAAAAGAAAAAAATCTTAAACTGTATTAACACTTTATTAAAGTATAACAACTTTATACCTTTATCCCTATTTAATATATACTCATTTTAAAAGAAAATAACTATCCACATTATAATAAATAAAAGACAGTATGATACATTCATGGTAAAAATTTAATGAAATGAC